ATCCAGTATTAAGTAAAGTTGAAGAAATATCGGAATGCGGACGAAAGGATAATATCCATTGTGAATGCCTATCATAATAGTGGTATTATTACATACTTTCACGGCTTAGCGCATAACTGCGAAATGGTGCAATGACGCATACTGCATATACAATTTTGCTATATAAACAAGCTACTGCCTTCGAGGCCCGAAAGGAGAAGCGGTTGTGGAAGATGAAGAAAAAGATTAAATAAGTTACTTTGTACAACAGCTCCTTGTTCTTGCATGAAAAGTTGCGACTAAACTAAATTATATTTATTATCTTCTTCATCTTCCATGTCCACCTCTCCTTTCGGGTCGCGGAGGCAGACGCGTCAGTCAGAGCTTCTAGCGTTTCCGATCCTGTGCCAGAGTCTGAGCTTTGGCAGAAGACAACCGGAGCCTGGAACAAACTCCTTCCATATGTTGTCCGCTGGGTATTCTGCCGGTCGGTTTCGCAAGGAACAGTTGCTTAGCCTTCCTTTCTGGAGGCATTGGACATATGCCCAAATCAACGCAGCTGATCTAGGAAAGTTCACCGATTGCAATTCACCGACGGAAAATTCACCAACAACAATTCACCGACTGGAAAATTCACCGACCATCAATTCGTCGAACGGAAAATTAACCGACTCTACAACTGACCGCGATGATGAATTTATTAAAAACCATGTAACATAAAAAATTTATTTCATACCATAAAGTATTGTCAATATTTCTATAAAATTGAAATCTGCTAATTTTGAATTAATTTGCTTGAAAATAATAATGATGTATGTACCTCTAAATTTCGAATAAAACATTTCATTGGAATAATTTAACTGAAAAAACTTCTGAAACATTCATTACACGCAATACCTAATTATTAATTTATATTATGTGCCACACCCTCTCAAAAACTCTAAAACATTACTTCTGTCATAATTTGCAACTATTCTGAAAAGTCTCAGCGCAATCCCTATACTTCCAACGCGTAGGGCTACCTTAACCACTCGCATATTGTTCAATTTGCAATGTTCTGATGCTCTGCTCACGCTGAATCGCTTCAATAAACTTCCAGATATTAGGGTGTTTTACAGATACTTGTATTTCGAATTTACGATTCCACTCTTCAACTGCATTATTTGTCTTCGGGGGACGGTGTCTTACTCCTTCGTGACAGTTCCACATTTCCAGGGAGAAGCAGGGTATTCAGGATCCCGTGCGTCGTTAAGGACGTTCAATACAGCAGTTCTCAAAGTAATCAATTAAGTCTTGTGCTTCTTCAGACATGTTATCATCGCTACCGCTAAGAAGCTAAAATGCTTCTACCACATCTTCTGTTTGGAAAAGACCAACGCAGACAACAGATTCTCATAGCAAATTCGACGTCAGTTTCGAACCTTCTTTGAAGATTTTCTGCCTGAATCCTTGGAATATGCACTGCCAGAGACTTAAGAAACATTCTCAATGTCTAGACATTAAAAATTCTTGACGAACAGCGCTGACTATGGCAGGTTCGAATTGGGCCACAACTATTTCTGAGAAGGCATCAGGTTGAACCTGCTTTACTTGTTGCAATAACCCAACATAAGTGGCTTCTGACTTGTCTGGTAGTAAAGCATACAAAAGCGGAATTGAACTCTTCATCTGAATACCATGGAGTGCGTAGAGTTGGCAAAACAAATGAGGCACTGTTTTAAAAGTTCTGTCCACAAACCAATGTTCAGATGAGGCCAGTAAACGGAGATTTCTTGCGGTGGAAAATAAACTATTCACTGTTCCGTCGGTCCTGAATCAAACGGCAAAAACAGTTCACCTTCTTTAGATATATTGTACTCCTCGGGAAATACAATTTTTTGTCGGCTAATAGGCAAAGCAGGTGCTGCTTATTTCCTTCTTCCAATGCTTTGCTTCGTTCCTTTGATACTTTCGGTCTTCGCAATATGTCCTACAGCAGTTTGCCCACAAAATCGCACAAACGCAATTAAATATATGGTGCTTCTTGGCTATTTATTGCATGATCACGTACAATATCCTCCATCTTCGAAGCTTCAACATGAGCTGCATCCCGAATGTAGTTGTGAACTCCCTTCACGGCCTCAATGGCGTCTCCAACTGTTATTACATGAACCCGGAAATTGTGCTTATGCTGCATCTCACACTTTCAATATGTCTTGTCATTTTGTTTTTGTTTGAAAAATAAGTGACCTTCCACTAAACGTTTCTGTCTTCCCCTTTCACTCGTGTCGAACTGAAAGGCAATGACGGTTAATGAAGATTCGTAACTGAAGTATCACACTCGAAGAACTTTTCAAAACTGACCTCTGAATTTTATGAGACTTTATATAAGGATGAAGCGTGGTAATTATTGTGCCCATTAAGTAATCTTTCAAATATGCCATTTCTAAATAAATGCATTAGATAAAATTTAGTTTCCTGTGAGTAGGTAATATTATGGTAATTATTCTGCTTACTAACGTAACCTTTCAAATATGTTATTTCTAAATAGTACTGTTTTATGATCATCATAAATAAATTATCGGCGATCAATTGTAAAATCGGTGAATTTTCCGTTCGACGAATTGCTGGTCGGTGAATTTTCCTGCGGTGAACTTTCCGTCGGTGAATTGCAGTCGGTGAACTTTCCGAATACCCTACGCGGCAGTGACTTTTCAAACTGGAGAAGCAAAGGTAGTACACTAAGGCCCTCTCGAATGTCTGTATTTCGGATCAAATCGAGACGCATAAAGCCAACGACTCCTCTCAGAAACCAATTTCAGCCGCGTGTACCCGGGTTCGAAGCTTCTCAGTCATCGTCTACGATTCATGACCATAGGTAATCATAGAGATAAAGATCGATTTGAACACCATTTGAGCTTGAACACCAGAGCTTCATTTCAGACTGAGTTCTACTTAGTCACAGCTAATCGGGCTAGTTAACGCAGAACGCCAGTGGCTACTCCAAGTCGGCGGTCGATCTCTTCCTCCAACTTTCCATCACTAGTAAATTTAGTTCCGAGGTACTTGAACTTCTCCCCCTGCACCACTGCCTCTCCGTTAATCTGAACAGAGCAACGGGCAGGAGAAGGAGAAAGCACTAGGCTTTTCGTTTTAGACGCGTTCACACATGCCGGTCACGTCACACTCGGCTGCGAACCTTTCTAAGGAGCACTGGAGATCAGTTTCAGAAGATGCTAAGAAACCAAGGTCGTCTGCAAACAGCAACCTTCTCGACTTCACATCTCCTACACCGATATCCTCATCGCCTTGGCAGCTCCTGATTATTCTATCCATGTACAACACAAACAGGATACGGGACACGACGCAGCCTTGGGGGAAACCAGTGCCTGGGTTGAAACGTTTCCATTTAACGCCATTTACTCTGACGTAGCACCTGCTATCAGAATACGGTATATTCATAAATTTAAGTTTCTGTGAAATAATTGGGCAATTTGACAGCTAATTCGCAGACATTTGGTACTGTACTCACAGAGATATTAATATATAAGTAAGGAACAGCTGTTGATGGACGAAATCTTAGAATCTTAGAAATTCATTAATTTGACAGAAGTTTCACATTGTGTTCACGAGAGTTTCTCACAGATATATAACTTTCTAGGTTGGATGTCACATTTGATGGAAATGACCACGGTCCAATCATACAGAATCAAATGCGCGCCACAGGACGTTACGTTGATAAAGACTGTCGATCGGCACCGAAACATCTCACGCCGAGTCCCACTCTGTGAAAATGATCTCGTAAGCTTTCAGCAGTGCTTTTTGCAAAGGATAATCAAATTGTAGTGGAGCCACAAGGACATCAAAGAGCAAGTTTTATTGACCCAGATCTGAGGGATGTTTCGAAAGAATTCAGATCATCGCTTGGCTTGCTTTGATAAAACGGTATACGTTTTCAAAACTTGTCTTGCGTGATAAACTGTCCACTAGTCGTAGAATCGTTGGAGAACAGTCGAAAACCAGTAGACATTTCGTTGATTTGCTTACTAGAGGAATATGATTTTCGCCATCGCAGTGAAACTTACCTAATATTATTCGGAGACATTGCTTCTGGTAGTCAGACAACGTAAACTTTTAAAGAACGGTCGTTTACAAACCCAAACGATTTGCCGTCATTAAGTCAAGCCCTCTGCTGTAACAGATGAGCGCCAGATTGTGACATTCATTAGATCTCCAACTGTTCAGCAGTTTATGTGAAGGCAACATTCTCATCTTCGTCAAGCGCAGATTTACCTCAGTATTTTGTCCTCCATGTTCTGTGATATTTTCTTCGATTATCGTTCATATTTTTATACCAATATACATGACGTTTTATTGAACTAAAGACGATTATTTGCATATTGGATGTTACTCGTAGAGCTTGCTTTTCTCAGGAATAGAATTCTAATGGTAAGTCGGTAACAGAAGCCAAATAGGAACATTCGACTATCTCTGTCATTTGTGATACGATAATTTATGTCGCCTGAAAGTATGTTATTTAGACTAAGAAAGCAGAAATTCAAGAAGACTGGACATCTGTGATCTAGGCAGTTCTGCTGTTTAAGCTTTATTTAACTTAAAAACAAGAGTATGCATGGAGGTAGGGATTTCGAATCCGGCATTTTACCGGTGTACCAAGAAACAACGGAACAGAACAGAAGGAGGAATCAATGGTGCGGAACATCACGTCCCTAATGACGTAGAGTTTCTCTCAAAGTGATTAATAGCGAAGCGTGCATCCACTATTATCCGATGTTCTCAAAGACTTGCATGTATGGTGTCATTCGATGTTCATGGTAGTAATTAATCTGCCAATTACCCGTCAGCTACAAATATGGCATCCCCACTTTCCAGAACGGCGACGTCCGTCGGTTTGCAGAAATGCTTCTGATCTGAGCCTGGCACAAAGGCTTCACCAAGAACCAGCGTCGGCTGAGTGTCATTATTTTTGAACTTCATTACCTAAACACAACATTGTATAATGGCGATATATTTTGCAATAACAGTCATAATGAAAAACAGCATAAAACACGGTTTATTAATACGCAACAAAATATAACATGGTCAGTCGAACGATTAGTCAATACCGACAATTCGGCACGTCTCAGGAGTTTTTTTCTAAGTAAAATGTTGGTAAAATTTCGGATGTTTTTCTTGTCTGTAGCGAAGGCTTCTGGCTCCAGACTTACCAACTGCTGCGGACAAAAAGAAAAACCTCTGCAACTTTACCGTCCTCCTACCCTAAAGAAGTCGAAACGTCGGTATTGATCAATCATCCGACTGACCATATTACTTTTCGCGTTGCATATTAATAAACCGTGTTTTATGTTGTTTTTCGGTATGACAATCAACGCACGAATGAAATTCGCTAATAACAATCATACAGACAAGGGGGAGTGGAATATGTTCGAAGTGAGGCCTTGGGAAATTTATGCGCTAACAACATAAAAGGAAAGGGAATGATAAACGATTTAATAAGCATTGAACAGAACCAACGACATCATGGAGGTCTGGTATAAATCAGAGTATAGGAATATAGCAAGGTGATACATTTCTTTTAACCACTGTCGAAAGTCCCGAATAAATTCGCGCATTCGTGGCGAATCAGAAAATAGATGTTCGAAGTAACTTTTCGCTGAGGCATTCACGGAATGCTTTAAGGAACATTTATTTCTGTACACTGCTAATCCTGTAAATATATGAAAATTTTTCGACTGGAATTCCAATTTTTTTCAGCTACAATCAAAGTCCATGCTCACTGTATGGGCGGTGAGCCTGAAGGAATTAAATTAAAACGAATTAATAACAAGCGTCGGGACACGAACATAAATTTTAAATACTGAAAACTGTAACCAGTAAGAGGACTGACCCGCCGAGCAACTAGACTGTTTTGGCGCTGAAGATTTAATCTGACTTACAACAAAATTAATGTCTGAACAGCAGTCATGTAGAGGTGGTAATGTTGTTAACTGGCATATCATAGAGTTTGTGAGGGAGAATATTTCGTGATACAGCGTTGAAAGTTTTGAAACTGTCGAATACTTGCCTTTCAACTGCTGACATCGGATTTATATAACGAAAACTATGAAGCTATTATACAAAATATTGCGGCATTGCAAGACGGATGGCAGTCATTACACCGGGTTGACTCGTAACATAGAACTGTTTCACGGCTTCTAGTCGCCTATTGACTCAAATACTTGGTTAACTTGGTTAAGATGGCGGATTACCTTGTACATGCGTATACAATTTTTCCTTGATAAAGATACTTAGACGAAAAGATTGGGCGAATTGGATTGGTCACTTATCTCCTGTATACAATTTCAAAAAGTCATTTATCGTTTCAAGAAACTTACCTGGTGTAATGCAACATCAGTCAACCACACGTTTCCCTGTTTATCGCATGTCAGGCCATGAGGCATGTAAAACTGATTTGCACCAAGACTCTGCAGTAATGTACCAGTTTTGCCATTCAGCACCAGGTGAGTGGCCTCCTTGATCGGTCCTTCTATTATATGGTTGAAGCGGTTGTCTAAGCTGAACGACCTAGAAAGATTTAGATTTGTAATTATTCCTAAAAGTCAAAAAAGTATCTGGAGTTCTGGAAGAGCTGCTTCACTTGCAGATAAGATATGCAAATTTTGCAATGCTTTTAGACACATGATACGCTGTGAGAAATAAACTGTTTCAGACTATCTTTCTTGCTAATTATATTCATTCGAAATACTGGAAAAATTCAGTAATTTAGCTTTTCAGTAGATTTCTTAATATAACGAAAAATATTTATTTCAGTCGTTGTCAGATTTAAAACTTCGCGAATAGTCTTTGGAAAACAACAATGCATTTAATGCTCAAAGCCCGCTGCAAAAGTAAAATAGTTGCATAACCACAGTCAAGAATATAGTCTCAGAACATTAAACCAAAGGATAGTTCTCGCTAAAACCGAGATTTCACGTTCTAAACTAATTCTAACTAGTCTTTGTTGTGTTATGATGAGAATGCGGATCATAAATTTTCTCAAACGCAAAGTTTCGGTTCACTGATTAGTAATGTTGTTTCTAACAGTCAGGCGAGGGATCAGATTGGGGACAGTCATCCTTTTATATCAGACAAACTGCCTGTATAGTGCTCAGAAGCTGCAGAGGGCTCCTGAGCAACGAGAAGTAATTTTACTCGAACATTGGGATCATTTTATACTGGATAGACTTGGAGAAAGGAAACATCTCATACGTGATGATCAGTTCATTTCCCACTCCGCTTTGCATCAATGTTATTATTCTTTTCATATATTTTTTATCTGCTCTTATTTTTTTATAAATAAACCTTGGTGTAGAATTACGTGATCCATTGGTGATGTCAGTAATTCAAGAAACTGATTGAACTAAATTCTATGTTATAAATCGCTGAATAGATAGTCTGAATGAATTATCGTAGCATGGCTTATGTAAACATTGACGCACCGCACGGCGACCCATGTATTTACAGTAGCGAACACACTTACTTCGTATTCCATGTCCTGCTGCCGCGATGAAATACATGTAAGTTACCACTTTGGTCCACGTCCACCCCTGAAACCTGGCCCAGATTTAAACTGTCCACGTTCCACGTTGGAAGAAATGCCTACAAGCGATAACTAATAATGAATTACACATTTTCCGCTACTATAGAAAAAATTTGTGCCTAGCTACTGGTTAAATAACGCATCCACGAGTTGCGGATAGGGGAACGACCTCCAGATATTTAGTTTACCTGCGACAAATAAGCAGCCGCCTACAGGCAGCTTGAAACCACCAGGTGGTGGTCGTCGCTGGGTTCGAACTCGACCAGTTCGGTCCTCAGAGAAAAGGCCAAAATACCTTGTCTTCTCATGTCGAGGCGAAAGCGACTCGCCCCATTGATGAAAAAGACCGCCAGTGTCACTTCTGTCTTGCAGTTATATGTCGGTTCGTCCAAGGTCAGAACAGAAACCGATATAAAAAAGTGTTTAGGAACAAACTGATCGACCCAAAATTGTTCAAACCATCTGGAATTTCAAGTTCCCTCAGAATGTGTGAAAACAAGCAACAATGTCGGCGCAGCGCCTCACCGTCAGATTCCACGAGTTTCAATGTAATGCCATCTTCGCCGGGAGCCCTTTCTCGTTTCGCCTGTCGAATTGTATGTCACGCTTCTTCTGGCAAGATATTTGGAGTTTCTTCAACTTCATTTGTATCTTTAGGTTTCTTGTCGTCACCAAAACATGTTGCTGTCTTAATCTCTATACAGTTTTGCATCACGTCAGTCTTTGATGACAATTCCGTCTTTTGGTTTGAGGGCAAAATCGACCGTTTATCATCGATTTAATTTTTTCATGCTCCAGCTGTTTCACCAATCTGCACTAAATGCTCAGAAGCCTTCCTTTATTCGTTACCTTAAATTTTTGCAAAGTTCTACGTATTTGATTTTTGATTTCTGATCTAAAAGATTTTATGTGGATATTTAATCCTCCATCAACATAGTCAGTGACGGGTTTATTCGACACAACTGTACATTTTGCATCCTGCTAGTCGATATGGATCAGGGGGTCATATCGCACGAGCAGCTATTAAATGTGTCAAACGTTAAAACATCCAGCGCGTTTGGGAATCGGTTTTGTGAGCTGTGGCCCATGAAAATGAATGTAGAATATTCTCAAATATTGGACTGTTTGTAAAATGTATTATCGTGCGGGGTTATACACTATGGTGCGAAGGAGTTTCGTTACCTGGCATATGTTTTTCATATGCAAACATATTCTTACCCTTCGAATTTTGACCTACTGGTTCAACGTGTGGCTTTCACTAGGCATCTTATGAATCTCAAGTTCCTGATGCAAGTAACATCCATATTCACCTTCAGACGGAATTCTTTCATCTTCTTCATTTTAATCTTCCATCGCCGCTTCTCCTTTCGGGTCGCGAAGGCAGATGCGTCAAACAGAGCTTTCAACGCTCCGGAACCTGTGCCAAAGCGCTTGAGCTTCTGGAGCAGACTCTAATATATTTGTACCAGGCTAATCTTGACCTCCCCTGAGTCTTCTCCCGGTCGGTTTGGCAAGAAACGGTTACTTGGCCTTCCTTTCTGGAGACATTCACAAGACATGCCCAAGCCATCGCAGCTGTGAATACTCAATCTGAAAAAGCAGAGGCTGTACACCAAGGTTCTCCCGGATGTCTGTATTCCAGATCATTTCGAGACGCATAATGCCAGCGACTCGTCTCAAAAAGTCCATTTCAGCCGCTTGAACTCGGGATCGAAGCTCCTCAGTCATGACCGTAAGCACTGGGATAACGATCGACTTTAATATTACTTAAGGAATATTACTTCCGGTAAGTCCTGTTATCATGTTTCTCATGCATTCGCCAAGACTCAGAAGCGATAATATACTAATAATTAAATAGATTTACAGGGTTGTCGAAAACTCATACTGGTCTTGGGGCTTAAATTACAAATTTTAAAGCCAATGTTTCGGCCAACCAACATTCACCGTTATCAGGGCCAATTATTTGGTGCTGCCTGTTTTGCTTGTACGAGTTAACCGCTAACTGAAACGCAAATGTAAAATGACGGAATAAATCATAAACTGCTTTGAATTTAGGCAGCTTGATTTCGTTGTTATTAATTACTTGTTTAATAATAATTTAGTTCTTCATGCATTACTGCTTTTTGTCTCTTTTAATTATGTTTCGTTTAAATCAATTTAATTTATTTCAGTCATTGTGATTCGCTGAAAATGGACCTATGGGCTATTTCTGTTTAAATACGAAGTCGCTTTGTTCCACAATCTACATTTGGGGAAGCAGTGGCGCAGCAGACGACTAGTTTGTCTTTGCACTTCAAATATGCAAGCTTTGGATCTCAGTACGGCGTAAAAATTTTCTTATTTACTGAGCTGCCATCTACACTGAGTAAAGAATTTACCCCAATGTGTTTCACTGCAACTCGGCGAGAAGCGGTGGCAGCCTGTTAACCCGCGAACAATGAAAGCGGCATGGATTTTTGTTGTTGTGATGCCAAAATGCACGAGAATTACAATCGTACTAACGCCTTATGCTTAGAAGTGATCTGGAGTTGTACGTTGCCGACGATAGTAGTTCGTTGAAGCAGCTCGTACCCCCGTTACCTGAATATTCTTATTTGTCTCTGCCTTCATGTCCCCTGCCTACTGCCTTCGCTGACGGCAACTGAGCGAAGGGGAATGGAGGTAGCGCATTAAAACTTAGAGGAAATCGGTTGAGCAATTTAATTAGCTCGGCGATGGAACTATTTAGTCAGAATTAAATATGAAGATCGCCATATCCTCGATATCAGGGCAGGAACATACTGGTAACATACTGGTAGGTTACTGGGTAACCTTTAGTATCTGGGTTGATAAACGAATTACTATTCCCACGAAAATCCGCCTGCACCTTGCCTCGGTCAGGTCAGCGTTGTTGTATGGCATGGAAACAATTGCTGTAACGAAGGAGCAATTATTGAAGTAAATGCAACAACGTTAGCTTCAACGCATAACGAGGGTTAAGCATGCGTAAGGGACGACTCTGTCCTCTTCCGGCACAGGTGACCTTCGTAGATATGGAGATTAATAAAAGGAGACTGGCTCTGTTAGACAAACTGGTTGAACATACACCATGAACTTTTCGCATGGGAGCCGAAACAAGACAGACATCGACCTGGAGACCGGCATGAGACAAAGGCGAACAAGAGAGAAGTAGATCTTGCTTCAAAGAGCAACTGTTCTTCTACGATACAGTAACCGCTGCTTTGTAGCAAACGTGTTGAGAAACTGAGAATGCAGCCGACATCACAAACCAAAAGACGCTCTTCAGCTGTTTACGATCACTGACATGAGTGATGAAGTGAGCAGTGCATATAACGTGACTGGATAATTTAAATGGAGATCTACTGTTAATGAAATGAAATCTTTATTCGTCGATACGGCGGCGTCACGAACCTTGAACAATTTGCAGGTTTGCTACGCAGTTACAGTCGATGACGGCAAAAATCTAGCCTGCAACGTGCCCAAGACAAGCAAACAGCTGTCGAAAGAAGTTACTACGAACCATTAGATCTCCATTCTGCTCTATATCTGAGGATTTGCACGTAAATTTGATGTAAATCGTATGCCATGGTGACTATGTGGCCTTGTAAATGCCTAAGTTCACGGTATTCGACCAGACAAGTGTGAAATTACCAATTTGTCATCATATCGTTGTCATGAGTTTTCTGCTTTGATGCAACGAACTGCGAGTGTGATGATGAGAAATTATGAGAACAACACAGCAGACATAGATTTCTTCCGGCCGGCAACTCTGTACCCTCAGATTACCGCGTTGTCAGATCTGTTTGAGTTTGAGTTCGACCGGCGAGTCACAACTTTTCAGCGATGGGTTTCGTGTGTGGGAACGATGTCACGATTCAACTATGGATTGTGTGGTTGGTCAGTTTCGACAACTTTCAGAAAGGCTGTCTCGAACGCATAATACTTGAGCAAATACTCATCTTTAGAACAACGGTCGCTAGTGAATGGAATACGCTAGAAGGAAATAGAAGTAGACACTGACCTTTGGAAAAACATCGTTCACGTACTGATCACCGTCCAATCCTGCGAAGAGGTGCTCATCGGCAACGACTGAAAGGAGAACACAAACCAAAACTGCCCCCTGCCACATCTTGCAAATAATCGACACTGCCACTGACAGCGCGAAACCGGTGGAAAGTGAACGATGCACGCCGGATGCGAGATGAATGTACCCACTGAAGGCCAGAAAATCGATGTGTTGTCGCTTGCCACGCAACGGTCCGCCAAGCTATCCATCGATTGCTTGTGCATAACAGGGCCCGTTGATCAGCACAAATCGATCAATGGGTTGTTATGAATGAAAATATATGACGTTGCATAATATTTAGAGGTTATGCTCCATACTCAGAATATGAAAGCGAAGGGTCTACCCAGCTGACGCTGATTGAGTGGCTGCCGAAAATGCATCACGAATTGAACATCCCTAACGTCAAAGGAATCGTAAAATTTGGCTATGAAGCACAAAATTATTTCAGCAGACGGCTTGACATTGCACTAGACCGTATGTAGACTATAGATATGATAACTGAAACCAATATATGGTAATTTCATATTAAGTTATGGTATTTGAATGTACGGCCAGTAAATCGTCTTTAATGCTGGTTAACAATTTATCGTAGAGAGAAAGCGCAATTTAACATGGCCAGCTATACATCATGCTGATCTGAAGTAATAAGCTGATATTGTCCTGGTGAGTAGCATGGGCAGTGGGTTCTGTCGCCTGACTGCTTCCATAAGCTGCGAAAACTAGCATCTTCCTTAACGTCTGGTAGTCAAAAGTGATGAGTAACCCATCCTACACAGTTGATCTACAAGCGAAGCAAAGACGTGAAGCCCTTCTGAAGGTTAACAGATTTAAGTACCTCAGTTTCATCATCTCAAGCAATAGCACCATCTAGCTAAAGTTAAATTAGAGGGTCGTCCGGTCTCATGGGTTTTTGTAAACCAGTCCAATATTAGCGTGGAGAAAGGAGATATAGTTTGAGCAAAATTTACCTCTGTCAAGTCAATGCTGTTATACGGCATAAAGAAGGCTGTTCTAAGAATGAGCAAAAACGATGTTTCAACTATGCGCAGCAGTGTCGGCTTCGATGTTTAACGAGTTAAATGGCAGGACCACCTCAGGATGACTCTATTCTCATTTTCATCTTCATCTTCCATCGCCGCTGCTCCTTTAGAGTCGCGGAGGCAGACACGTCAGACAGAGCTTCCAACGTTCCCAATCCTGTGCCAGAGTCTGAGCTTTGGCAAAGGACAGATGGAGTCTGGAACAGACTCCTTCCATATGTTTGCACCGGGTTAATCTTGGCCGTCCCCTGGGCCTTTTGCCGGTCGGATTTGAAAGGAACAGTTGCTTAGCCTTCCTT